GGGCGGTCTCAGCCTGGGGCCCCCGGGGCCCCCGTTTCTTGGCTCTGTCGGCAGTGCCTCCACAGCCCATCAGGTGAGGCAAGAGCACTCGCTGGGCAGGGTCTTCGGCCCAAGGACCACGTGTTTACGCAGCTCCCAACCCTCTTTGGGAGGACACCACACCCCAGAAGCTGTGGCCTCTGTGGGCTTTGCTCGCGGTCCAGCTCGCTTCCTTATCCACAGGTGCAGCACCCAGGCCGCAACCAGAGGAGCCTGTGTGAGGGCACCCAGCCTGGTAGGAGTGTTGCAAGGGTCCCTGAAGTGTCTCCTGATGGACCCACTACTCAGCACCTGTACTGATTTCGCAGCGGTCATCACTTGGGATTAAACTTTAATGCAAATGTCTGGGAAGCCCTAAGGAGAAGGCAGGCCCAGGGCACGCTGCACAGACCAGGCCTCCGGGCCGATGGGTGAGATCCCTCCACCAACCCGGCCAGCCCAGGGCAGCCTGGCCCTGGAATCTGCCGCTCAGAGGGTTCTGTGCCGGCTGCCAGGCCCGAGGCCCCGATTCCGGGGACGCTCCCGTTTCTAGACTCAGTGATGCAAACCCGTCCTTCCACCTCTCAAGGTCTCAGCATGTCCTCCATTGGCTGCTGGCTCAGGAGGCTGCCGGTGCTGTGAGCGCTTGGTGCTCGTCCGACGGCACTCCCCCAGCCCTCAGCCCCATCCCAGCCCACAGGCCCGGCCTCCCAGGCACCTTCTTCCCCGCGGTGAGGCACTTCCCTGCCCACAGTCCTGAGACAATTTGGTGAGGGTCGCCCACGGGGAGGGGTTGTCGGCTGTGACCATCAGGACCACGTGTCCTGTGCACGGGGGTTAGGCAGGGAGTTCCAGCCGCCCAGGGACCTCCAACCAAGGTGTGTCCTCAAAGCCAACTCCGGCTGACCCTGATGGAGCTCCAGGACCCTCCCGGGCTCAGTGGTTGGCACCCATGGGCGGGACCCCGGTGCCATCACAGGTACTTCTGGGAACCTGACCCAGAGCACCCCAGACACAAAGATGTGCCCAAGACCTGATCACTCACCGTGGATTACTTTTTCATTCTGAAGACATGGTGTTTGGAACCTAACCATGCGGCCCTACCTGGAATGCAGTGTTCCCTCCTGTCTGAGCCTCTGATCCGCTGGTCACCGGCCCGGGCAGCTGCGGGGAAAGTAACATGCGGAGCCAGAGCGGGCGGATGCTCTACCCCCAGGCCCCGGGGCCACCACCCACTCGAGTGGGCGCCCGTGTTCCTGCGGCAGGCCGGCCGTCCAGTTGGCACCAGGGCGCCCACAGCCCATGCAGCCCGACCGGACATGCAGATGTGGGATGTTCTCCTTTTTGACGACTGCATTTAGGCACAAAGGAAAACTGTGGTAACCCAGCAGCAACAAGACCTCTCGCTCCATGTGTGCCGCTCCGGCGTCTTCCGGAACAGCTTTCCTCTGTGGCCTTCAGTGGCTGCCGAGGGCACCAAGTGGGCAGGGCACTCTGTTTGGTCCCCATCAGACGCTGGGCCAACCCCCAGGCTGAGGGAGCCGCACCATCCTGGGCCCCCCACACCCAGCCTCCTGGCCCCTTGGCCAGGCCAACCCTGGACAGTGACCCTGAGACCAGAGGCCCCTCAGGCGGTGGGTGGTACGCGTGGAGGGTGAGGCGGGCATCATCCCCGGAAGCTGAGGTCCGTCTGCCCACGTGACCAGAGCGGGGAAGGCGACAGGAGGGTGACACGGGCCCACGGGCCCCCAGCAACTCACACTCTGGTCCTCTCACTTCCGACATCGGCACTCCCTAGGGCCACACTGGGGTGGCAAGGGTCCCGCGTCTGTGTGAGGTGGCCTTCCTGGGGGCACTGGCACTGTGAGGAGAGTTGTCACGCCCCCGTCTGCACCCACACCTAGTTTTGATGGAAAACCTAAAATGGCTCTTGATTTTACGTGTTTGTACGTGAAAATGAATGTTACAGGTAGAGTTTAAGTGGACTTACTTCCTAAGCCTCGCAATAGCACATCCACTGACCTCTCAGAGAACCTGGCGGCAGTGGAGCTGGGGCCATGCTGGGCTCCCAGCCACGCAGCAGCAGGTGCCTGAGGAAACCAGCACCTCACAAGCCAGATCTCCACACAGGGGCAGCAACCAGAAACAGCTCGGAAGGCGGCTGATGCTGGCCAGCCCAGGGCCCAACCCCCGTCTACGCAGCGCACGTGCTCTGACTCCGCACAGACAGTCTGGTGTGAGGGGGGGAGGTCAGCCGAGCACACACAGGGGACCCTCTCTTGGCAGCACACCAAGATGCTAACACACGGGCGCTAAGAGCCAGGTCTGAGTGTGTGCTCATGCCTGGGTGGCCGTCGAGCATGCACAGCGACGGAAATGCTGTACTGAACACCAGACACACAAGCTCTAGTTTTGCATTCATTCTCTTATTTATTTTTAAAACCACACAAGGGGAGCCCCTGCGATTTACCCGTGAAGTCAGACGCTGGCCGAGGCCCCTGCTCCTGGGAGCTTATAGGCTAGTGGTGCGTGGGCTGGGCGGGCCAGACTCGGGACCGGCGAGCTCCCAGGGGCCGGCGGCGTGGATGCTTTGGTTTCCCAGGTGCTGCAGCACATTTCCAGGGCAGAAGTGTGGAGGGACACTGAAACCTGATGGAGACAGGCCCCCAGAACGGCAGGCATGTACGCAGCCCACAGATGGACTGGCCACTACTGGAAGGACAGACTGCATCTGTGGAGCACCGGCTACAGAGAGAGGTGCAGGTGGGCTGCTTTAGAGCAAGGATGTGAAAAGCTGGGCAGAGGGCAGCGTGGTGACAGGGTGCCAGGGAGGGTGGAGAGGGTGGTGAGGGGGTCCCCAGGCAGGTTGGGGGGCATGGTGATGGGGTCACGGGGAAGGTGGGGGACATGCTAATGGGGTCATGGCGTCCCAGGCAGGGCGAGAGGGTGGTGACGGGGTCCCCGGCAGGTGGGGGACATGGTGATGGGGTCATGGGGTCCTAGGGTGGGTGAGGGGCATGGTGACGGGGTCATAGGGTCCCAGGTGGGTGGGGGGTGTGGTGACAGGGTCCTAGGGTGGGCGGAGGGCATGATGATGGGCTCCCCAGGCAGGTGGGGGGCATGGTGATGGAGTCCCCGGGTCCCAGGGCAGGTGGAGGGTGTGGTGACAGGGTCCCTGGGTAGGTGGGGGGTATGGTGATGGGGTCCCCAGTGGGTGGGGAGGGTGGTGATGGGGTTACAGGGTCCCAGGTGGGTGGAAAGCATGGTAATGGGATCACAGGGTCCCAGATGGGTGAAGAGAGTGGTGATGGGGTCCCGGGGCAGAGAGCAGGGCACTCAGGCCCGTGTAGGGTGAGCCTGCAGGACGTGATTCCCAATGCAGGGTGGACACTGGATGGCATACACACAAGCCCTGGGCACCCCGTTATCTTAATAACAACATCCTTGGGGGCTCAGTGTCCCCACCTGTAAGAGAGGCATGCAGGTCACAGGCCAGGCCCTCTCCCACTGACACTGGAGAGTGTGCTATTCTCAGAGCAGGGACTGCAGAAAACATCAACGTGAGACATACTTTCTGAACTGGTTTAAAAAGTAATTTTTCTTATAAAGCCTAGTTTTCTTTAAAACATTCAACTTTTGGTCAACCATGCTTGAAGTTTAATTAGAACAGAATCATTACATTTTCCAAAAATAACTAAATATTTTGTCTTGTAAGATGTATTGCACCTTAGTCCAAGAGCAGACGAGCTGGGCTGGGTTGCACGAGGCAGTCCCACAAACCCAAGCGGGGTCACAGATCTGAGACCAAACAGCTCTGGCGGAGCTGCTCACGGGCACACGCTCCTCCTCCACAGTCCTATTCTGGGTCCACCTTGTGATGTGGCCATTTTATAACAAGATCACATCATTCGAATCTTGAAAAGCACAGCTAACATTTGCCCAAGAAACAGTTAATTCTAGCTGACATCGACACAGATACTCCAGGGCTTTCTATCGTCTAGTCTGTTTTGTAAATGACACGTTATGGGTAGAGAAAACGAAACCTTCTGAGAATCCTGATTTTACCGAGAAAGCAACATGGCTGCTTTCGCAATAGTTTTCAGGTAATGTCAACTTCCCTCTTAAATGATTCGAATACCTTAAGTGCTTAGAACTACGGTCGGCAAGAGCTGAGCCAACAGGACACGATCACGTTCGGAATGACGGGCGCTGCCGTGCTCTGGGAGCGCACACCGGGCCCCGGTCAGAGTGCCAGGCAATGCTCTGAGGACCACGCGTAGCACATTTACTTTCTACTGGTTCGGGGGGTGAAAAAACACGCCGGTATTTTCTTCCAGGAAACATTTTAAGCTGAAACGGCAAACTGATTTTCTAAGCGTCTACCCTCCAAGTGTGTGAATGATCTCAGGAAGGGCAGTTTCCCGTTGAGTCAAAGGTGCTCGGGCCTGAAAGCCTCATGGTCACCGGGAGACGCAATTATTCACAGAAGAATGTGATGTGGGACATTAGCACAAGCACAGAAATCGTTAATGTTGGTTAATGACCACATCAAGCACCAGCCTTTGGGCTCAATAGCATGGGTTTATTTCTAAAGGCACCTGCAAAATAATTATGACTATTTGCTTTTCCACCGTAAACATCTAGAGAATGTAAGCACACATCTCGACCACCTCAGCTTTTGGGCGCAGAGGGCTGTCCTTTGTCTCCCCCCGGCAGTTCTATATTTGCAAGCAGCCAGCAAAACGATCAGTAATTACCTCAAGATGCAGCCCCCGCCCAGAACAGTAACGAAGGAAAATACACCAGGAGCTTCACTTCTTTGAAAACCGAGGACGGGGTCTTGCTAACAGGATGACTATGCAGCTTAGGCAGACAACGAAACCACCACTCTGCTTCGTGGCGACGGCCTCTCGGCATTTCCGTCTTTTAGAAAAAGTGCCCCCTCGGTTCATTTTCACTTAAAGTTAGAAAGAGAGCGTTACCGTTCGCAGGAAGGTAGGTGAAGTGCTGGTACTGGCTCCTCTTTCTTTTCCCGTTGCAGACATAGAAACTGACTTGGACGGGGCTGGTTATTCTCTGGTTGCGAAAAGGCGGTATCTCGACCACCAGCGAGTTCTGGTGAGAAATGGCAGAGAGGGGGAGACCGTGAGCACCTCGCGCACGTGAAGCACGCCGTGAAGCACGCGCACCGGAGCAGCCCGCCGCCCCTCCAGGGCTCCCTCGCCGCCGCCCCAGAGAGCTCGCCCGAGACGTGGGCCGGCGGGCGCAGGGGAGCTGGGCTGGCTTGGGGCTGCAGCGGGGACACCACCGACACCTCCCCGAGCCAAGCCGCTCGTGCTGAGCCGAGGGCAGAGGGGCCACTCAGCCGGAGAGGTCCTCGAAAGACCCCCACGCATCTGCCTGCCCCAACCACCATGGCCAGTGACCTCTGCAGGCTAAAGTCTCACACAGGGCTCGTGGATGGAGCCGTGCTCAGGTGACAGGATGAAGACCCAGGAGAGGGCACCTGGGGGGCTCAGCGGTGGAGCATCTGCCTTTGGCCCAGGGCATGATCCCGGGGTCCTGGGATCGAGTCTCGCGCTGGGCTCCCCGAGGAGAGCCTGCTTCTCCTGCCTGTGTCTCTGCCTCTCTCTCTGGGTCTCTCATGTATAAAGAAATATAATCTTAAAAAAAAAAAAGGACCCAGGGGAGGTGCTTCCTGGAGATGCCTCCCAGGGACAGGTATGGGACGAAGGCCCGATGCCTGTCACAGCCCCCCAGACACCCTCGAATGGAAGGCAGAAGGCAGGTGAGCTCAACACGAGTGGGTGGACAGTGAGAATGTATGGCACAAACGAGGACAGATGCTTCCTGGTGGGCACTGTTACTGTCTCACAGTCCAAAATACAAATTAGCAACATGGTCACAAAAATTTTGCACCCTCCAGTATAGGCCTGAAACAAGTCAGGTGGGCAGCATGGGATAAAAGGAGACACAGGCTGGCGGTCAGTGGTGGACACTGCCGGGTGCCTGAATGTTCAGAGGACAGGTCTTGACAGGCACCCATGCTGTGCTTGATTTCGCAGGAGCGACAGGATTTCACATCCAAAATGTTTCTTCAGTTTTCTTTGTCAAATGATTTAAGTTAGCACTTAGAGAAAATGAGTAAGAAAAATCCATCGTATCAAGTTTTTGTTAAAGAAACTGTAGCTCGTTACCCAGTTTAATAGCAAAATTGATTGAATCGTGTTAAGTAATGGAATCTTAGAAATGTTAAAATGGGAAACTGAAGAGAATATCAGGCCCCACCTTTTCCTTTTACAGATAAAGAAACCAAGGCACAGAAGGCTGTCTGGGAGGACATGCAGGTGGCAGGGCCCCTCGGGGCACCATCCCCTGCGGCCGTGCTCACTCCCAACTAAATGGGCTCGCTGCTTCCATACGTGTCCCACCTGGAAGAGGCAATGAGCCTCTTGTCCCCTTGGCAAAACTAACGCTCCAGACCTGGCGCCGACGGGGTGAAGGGTGGGTCACATGGGGGAGGGTACATGCTCAGGGCCGGGGCCACCATGCTGAATGTCAGCTTCCCTGTTTTGCACATGAGGATCAAGGGCAGGGGGTCTACATCTGGGCTTGTTTCCTAAGGGTTCGAGCATGTGGATGGGTGGACGGGGACCCTGCAGGAAATGCTGGTGCTGTATGTGGCTGGCACTGGCGACGGCGAGCCCCCGTGGGGCACGGAGCTAGTGGTCTGACCACCACGGAAGAAGAGGAGACATGGAGAGGAAGAGGTCCTACTTAAACAGAGGATGGAAATGAGGTGAGCCACGAGGAGCCGTCCACAGGGGGCCTGCGAGGGTCTGTACGGACTGCACAGGGCAGAAGCAGGCATCGGACCAGGCCCGGCCTTGAGGGTTTGGTTTTTATAGGTTCTACGTGACTGGGGGGTTCTGTTACCTCGCTAAACAGAGTATGCAAAACACCATCCCCCTGGGAGCGCGGTGAAGGAAGAGGCATGGAAGAGAGTGCAGTGAGGGGCACTGTCGTCCCTGCCACCTGTTGGCACAGGAACAGAACAGGGATAACAAACAGCTCTTGATAGGTCCCTGAACTCGCTTTAAGAAACTGCATCATCTACACTGCTCACAACAGCACATAAACCACACACACAGCAGGATTCTGCTTTGTTTAAAAACTGCGTGCGAGGGCAGCCCGGGTGGCTCAGAGGTTTACCACCGCCTTCAGCCCAGGGCCTGATCCTGGAGACTGGGGATGGAGTCCCATGTTGGGCTCCCTGCATGGAGCCTGCTTCTCTCTGCCTGTGTCTCCGCCTCTCTCTCTCTCTCTCTCTGTCTCTCATGAATAAATAAATAAAATCTTTAAAAAAAAATCTGTGTGCAACATAACGAGTGTGTGTGTGTGTGCATATATGCAGGCACATGCATGTGCACGAACATGCACGCACCAGGAGAAGCCTGGCAGGATGGACACCCAAATGTCAGCAGTGGTGCAATTACACCAGGTGCCTGCTTTCTATTTTATACCTTGCTACATTCTCCAAATTTCCACAACAAATATTATATTCCTTTATAGTTAGAATCAGTCTATAAAAATAAACCTCAATTAAGAGATACGGATGAATCATAAAACTAAAGTACTTCCCGCTTCGCACGTACTGTTATGATTCTCTTAAAACAACTATTAACAGGCTTCCTTTAAAATATGCAGCCACTCAGTAAAAAAGACAAGCCAATGACACAAAAACGAACATGCAGACTTGGCAGGATTTCTGCAGGCTTCTTCCGTGCTCAGGGGAGCTGGGGGGTAGGGAGTGCAGCTGGGGGGCCGGGGCAAACGCGGGAGGCTGCTGGGGGCGGCTCCAGCTGTCTGTCCCACCGCCAGGTGTGTTTACGACAATCCTGTGAGCTGAGCAGCGGCAGGAAGCCGAGCTGCCTGCGGCCCACGGCGCCTCCCCGGGGCTACTCAGGCACGCAGGACACAGGACAGGACCCGCAGGAGACGTGTGCACGCGTGTGAGGTCCCGAACACGGGAGGATGCCTGGACATCCTGGGAGAGGAGCGAGCTCGAGAGCGCAGGTTTCCCCCTGGGGCCAGGGAGGAATCTTTTCCATCTGACAAGACTGGAATGGCTTCTGGTAAGTGGATCAGAGCTTTGGAAAAGGAAGCTGAAGTCACAAGTAAAGATGCTTTGTCCCGATAGAGCCACTTGTGAGGGCGCAGGTGGCCCGGGGCCTGCCGAGAGCCAGCAGCGTTGGAGGGCCACCTCCACATCTCCACTCGGGGCTGGGAAGCCTACCTGCCGCGGAGCAGAGAAAAGCTGCCTGCTGGCTTCAACAAAGCCCACCAAGGCTCCCTGTTCACACCGCCCAACAGCCCAGGGCCCCTCGGGGCCCCAGACAACACTACCATCTTGCCTTGAGCATGATTCCTGAATAAGCCAACTTCCCATTTCCCTGCACTGTCAGATGGACCACACACCTGTCTAGGGCCAGGGGTGAGCTAGGGGATCACATACATGTCCATGGTCAGGGGGTGAGCTAAGGGACCACACACCTGTCCACGGCCAGGGGGTGAGCTAGGGGCCCACAGGTCTGTCCATGGCCAGCGGTGAGCTGGGGGACCACACACCTGTCCACGGCCAAGGGGTGAGCTAGGGGACCACACACCTGTCCACGGCTAGGGGCTGAGCTAGGGGACCACACACACCTGTCCATGGCTAGGGGGTGAGCTAGGGAACCACACACCTGTCCACGGTCAGGGGGTGAGCCAGGGGAACACACACCTGTCCATGGTCAGGGGGTGAGCTAGGGGACCACACACTTATTCACGGCCAAGGGGTGAGCTAGGGGACCACACACCTGTCCACAGCCAGGGGGTGAACTAGGGGACCACACACCTGTCCATGATCAGGGTGTGAGCTTGGGGACCACCTACTTCTCCCTGGCCAGGGGGTAAGCTAGGGGAACACACACTTATCCATGGCCAAGGGGTGAGCTAGGGGACCACACACCTGTCCACAGCCAGGGCTGAGCTAGGGGACCACACATCTTGTCCATGGCCAGCAGTGAGCTGGGGGACCACACACACACACACACACACACACACACACCTGTCCATGGCCAGGGGGTGAGCTAGGGGCCCACAGGTCTGTCCATGGCCAGGGGGTGAGCTAGGGGACCACACACCTGTCCACGGCCAGGGGTGAGCTACGGGACCACACACCTGTCCACGGCCAAGGCGTGAGCTAGGGGACCACACACACCTGTCCATGGCTAGGGGGTGAGCTAGGGGACCACACACCTGTCCACGGTCAGGGGGTGAGCTAGGGGAACACACACTGATTCATGGCCAAGGGGTGAGCTAGGGGACCACACACCTGTCCATGGCCAAGGGTGAGCTACGGGACCACACACCTGTCCATGGTCAGGTGATGAGCTAGGGGACCACACACCTGTCCACGGCCAGGGGTGAGCTACGGGACCACACACCTGTCCATGGTCAGGTGATGAGCTAGGGGACCACACACCTGTCCGTGGCCAGGGGTGAACTGGGGGACCACACACCTGTCCACGGCCAAGGCGTGAGCTAGGGGACCACACACACCTGTCCATGGCTAGGGGGTGAGCTAGGGGACCACACACCTGTCCACGGTCAGGGGGTGAGCTAGGGGACCACACACTGATTCACGGCCAAGGGGTGAGCTAGGGGACCACACACCTGTCCACCGCCAGGGGGTGAACTAGGGGAACACACACCTGTCCACAGCTAGGGGTGAGCTAGGGGACACACACCTGTCCACGGCTAGGGGGTGAGCTAGGGGACCACACACTTGTCCACAGCCAGGGGGTGAGCTAGGGCACCTCACGCCTGTCCATAGTCAAGGGGTGAGCTACAGAGTTTGGAAGAACTTTGAACTTCTCAGGTGAACAGTCACCTGCTGGCCACGGTATAGCTGCTGTTGGCCTGATGACTCCTGCTGCTTTTCCAAGGACCATGCAGAACACATGCACACTGGACGGGAGAGGTTAATCCCACTATGGCAACAGTCAGTTTTAATATCACTTAACACACAGATGGTCAGTGGGTGAAAAGTGAGACCAAGCTACTTGCAGCCTAGGAGAAACCCACTTTGAACATAAAGACGCCACCAGAAGCCTCAGGGATGAAGGACGCCTGCACTCACACGTGCCACACAAAGCCAGAGAAGCTGTGTTGTCTCAAAGAATATCTTCTACTTACGACCACGGGGGCAACGTTATTTCTCAGGCACCTACAAGTGCATGCGGTACCCAGCAGCTGTGGGCAGAAAGTCTGCATGGAGCAGGCACGAGGACCCCCCGGCCCCTGCCAGCACTCCGCTCACAGGCAGAGACTGAGCACCTCTGAGTGGCAAGAGATCTGACTTCACATCTAGTTCGTGTTCAGAACAAGTGTCTAAGAAGTGACGTGCATTCTCTGAGGACGGGAGACAGGAAGTCATGCCAAGGACACTGGTGGAAGCTGGCGCGGCCTGGAGACTCGGGAGCAGCCACTGCTCCCGGGGCCCCCCGGCTCACAACGATAACCAGAGGGTGGCAGTGGCCCTGTGACGTGAGCCCCTCAGTGCACCCGCGGTCCTGGTCGAGGACGGGTGTGTGGTCCCGTCGGGGTTTACAGGGCACCTCCTGGGTGGGGCCCAGGTGGGGTCCTGCCCCCCGTGGTCACTCTGCTGTCCTCCTCGAACTCGTGTTGTGTCCCACAAGCACTTGTGTCAGGTAGGGCTCCGTGATCCAGTCTGGCATTCCCAGTCACTCCTGCTCGCAGGAACCCCCTGCCCAGCCTCCAGAGCACCGGCACCCCCGGGGCTGCGTGTCCAGCCACACTTACCGGCTTACATAGGTCTCTATCCAGCTTGGCCTCTGTCTCCCAGATGTGGTGACCGTCTAGGGGGAAGAGGCAGAGGGAAGCCCATCAGTCTGGGTGCCTGGGCGAGTGCCCCACCTGGACCAGGCACAGGGGACCCCGGGGACCACAGCCCTCTGAACAGCTCGGGCCACCCGGGCTGTTAACGCGGAAGAGCAAACAGTTACATGTGCGTCACCAGCTGAGAGGACATGCCTGGCCCAGACGTGGGCAGGGAGCCTGGCGGAGCCCGAAGGACCCACCCACCCCCTCCGTAGGAGGGAGCCACATGCAGTGCATGCCCCAGAAATCCAACCCCCTCCTACGTCCTCAGGCCCACTGCCCCAGCTTCGTGCCAGGCATGAGTGGTTTCTACATGCCAAGCTTTTCTGAGGGAGGCGAGCCCAGGAGAAGCACCCATGACCCAGGAGAGGATGCACAGGCCAGGGAGCTGACCCAGGTCTGTGTCCCGGCCCCTGTACCCACCAGCTCCAGCCTAAGGTGCGTGCGTGCCAGGAAGCAGGGGCCAGATGACCCAGGGCTGCAAAGCCCCCGTGTGTTTTGGGAGCAGAGTTGTTCTAACGCGTGAGGGCCTGGGAGCCCTGGTCCTGCCTCTGCTCAGACCAGCGGTCAGCTGAGGGAGAAAATCCTCTCTCTGATGGCTTCTTGCCACATCAGGACACAGAAATGCAAAATATGGTATTTTTAACTTTACCCCAGTGGCCATTTGCATGTTTCAAAAAAAAAATAATAATAAAAAGGCTCCCAATAGGCCTTGAAAGGGCTCAGTGTTCCTTGGGTCCCGGCCTGCAAGGGGGGAGCTTCAGGGAGCCTGGGGTGGGAATGTCTGCGAACTGAGCTCTGGGCCTTCAGGAGCCTCTCCAGGGCTGCCGGCCACGTGGGGGACAGGCGGGCGTTTCCCCAATCGGCAGACGGGCATCCCCTGCTGAGGAGTCCCTCCTCCTCCTCTCCTGTGACTCTGTCCCCAAACACACAACTACAGCAAGAGACGCTTAGCAATGCTCCTGCTGTTTCCGAAGAAGAGATTGTGTGTATGTGTGTGTAACAGATCCTAAATTATAAATAAATTAGACAAAATCTCCTTCTTCTGCCTGACAGTCAGGGCGGGCAGGGGTGGAGGGTGGAGACAGCAGGAGGAAATATGAGTCACAGAGCCCGGAGCAGCGTCGGCGTGCCAGGACACATGGGCCTCTCGGGATGCCCGGGCTCCCAGCGCCAACTACCCACCAGATGGACCCACTCAGCGATAAGATGCAGACCAGGGCCCAAGGGATCAGCCGCCCTGTCTCCTCCAGGAAAACATTATCGGAAACTAAAAATACACTCTGCCATTCTCAAAGGCACCGACCAAGACTCCCACAAAGCATCACAGTTTCCGGAACGCAGAAGCATCCTTAACCCCCCAGCCCCTGAGCTGATGGGCAATCCTGAGCCGTGGGGGTAGGGGGACTGGGGCCAGGGGTCCGGGTTGGGGCCCAGGGACTGGGCCTAGAGGTTGGGGTTGGGGTCAGGGGCTGGGGCCTGGAGGCCAGGGTCAAGGGCTGGGGACCAGGGGCAAGAGGCTGGGGACCAGGGACAAGAGGGTGGGGCCAGGGACTGAGCCTAGAGGCCAGGGTCAGGGGTTGGAGGCCAGGGGCTAGGGTTGGGGGCCAGGGGCTGTGCCTGGAGATTGGGGTCGGGGGCTGGCCAGGGGCTGGGGTTGTGGGCAGGGGCTGGGGTCGGGGCAGCCTTCCAGGCCGTGCAGAGAGGAGCCCCACCCACCACTTAAGGATTTGAAATGACCCCGTTCCCTAAGCAAGTGACCCAAGTGCTCCTCCTGCCCATGGCATGGCCTCCATCTGCTGCTGGGAGGCTCAGCACGGCGCCTGTGGACCCAGCACACGCCTCCTGGGCCTGCGGGCGCCGGTCCTTGTCAGAGTGTCAGCCCAAGGCTGGCAAGGCCCGCTGTGCGTGTACATTCAGCTTTCCAAACGCCTGCCCCACTAACTGCAGAGTAAGAGAGCACAAGCAGAGCCTCCAGACACTCCCATCAACCACCAGGCTTCTGGAAGGTGGGAAGGGCACGGCCTGGAGGTCTCAGGGGCCCAAGGCTCCCAGCACACTCTGCGCACCTGTCCTGGGCTCTGGGCCTGTGTTCCCTGAGTCCTCGTATCTGTGACTGAATCACAGCCCAGCCCATAGAGGCAGGGGCACGGCCTGTTTTACTGAGGATCCCCAGCAAGCTGCCATCCACGTAGAAACAGATACAGACCAACTGCCCAAGATGGCAGTGCCCAAGCCACTCGACGTGGCTGATAATCGTGTATGCCAGGGAACTGTGAAGCCGGCTCCCACGTGCACCAGAACCAGCAGGGACCCAGTCGCAGTCGCCCCAAGAGCTGGTGGCATGGGCCCCACCGTCCAGCCTGTGGACATCCAGCCCCTGGGTGCCCCCTTGCCAAGCCCAGCCAGAGGTGGGCCCCACGCGGGCACTAAGCAAAGCCCCAGCCTCCACAGGGACGGGAAAGGCTGGCCCTGGAAGAGCCGAGGAGCTCCAGCCTTATCAGGAGCCCCAGGTCCTCAGGAGGAAACTGCGCAAGCCCAGAAGTAAAAATATTCCGAATCATTAGGGAATTCCCTGCAGGGTGAGTCATCGGAAAGGCTTCCCCGCCACACCCGCCCGGAGGCTTCCACAGCCGGCCTGGGCCGCTCAGCCTCCCTGCCCAGCGCTGACTCACACGCTCCCGGCGGCCTTCCCGAGCGCTCAGAGCCCTGCCTGGCTTCCCACCAAGTCTCAGCGCCGTGCCGGGGGCTGCCGGTCCCGGCCACGCGGCCTGCAGGCAGGGTGGAGAGACCAACGGTCCGTCACATGGAATCGCAGCTTCCCTGCAGCCCAGGTGACGCCGCCTGGGCCACGTGCACACGGTCCCCACCCAGCACGGCTGCCGGCTGCTGACACCGCCGGGTGCAGACCAGGACCCCGGGAGGCCACAGCGGGGTGCACATGGGCCGCTCCACACTCCTGTGGGGGCCATGAAGACGGGTGCCCACACGGGGGCAGGTGGGGGTACTCTGGGGCTGTTCCGGTCACATGGGTCCCACACAGGGGAGTGCCCCCCTGCAGCTGGTCTTCACCCTTCCCCATGCCTGAGACACCCCCAGGCCTCACACTCTGGGGTGCCCGCTTCCCGCAGAAGAGACTCCAGGGTGAGCTAGGATCACTGTCCCACCGTGGGCTCAGCCTGGCCGATCCTCACTGAGGGTGACTCTCCACGAGCAGACTCCCCTCTGGGGCACCCGCCCAGAGAAGGGAGCACACGTTCTTGCTGGCGCACCCGCACCACAAGTTGGGCACCACCCCAGCGTCTACCCTGAAGGGATAAGCCCACATGGTCCATGCACATGACAAACGCCACTCAGCCTTCAAAGGGACGAGATTCCAATGCACTCCTGTGGGGAATCCCTGGGAGACGGCCGCTTGGGGCATGGAGCCAGGCACAGTGGGACCCACACCATGCACGTCCAGGGCAGCGTCCACAGGGACAGCTAGTGGCTCTGAACCTGCCAGGCTGGGAGGAACAGGGATGAAGGCTTCTGGGAATTTCTAGAACTAGTGGGACACCTACCTGGCTCTGAATAAGCCAAAGAACAATGAACTTTAAGTGGATGAGCCATGTGGTCTCAGTCATATCTCAGCAAAACAGATAAAATGTCAGTTCTCCAACCTGTGTGTGACCTGTGCCACCTCACCCAGCAGCGTCCTCTCCACACCTCTCCTTTCCCATCAAGACCGCAGTGGATGTGGGAGGGCAGGACCCGGAACACAGCTCTCCTGCTGGGGAGGGACCCGAGCCCACTCTCTGGATGTGACCTCGGTGCTGAAACAGGAGCACCCGGGCGCAGTTTGGGTCAAACCACAGGGAAACACTGGCCACCAGCCCAGAGAAAGGTTTCTGGTGCCAACCCTTTCCCGGCAGGGACACAAGGCCTGTGGATGGGCCCCCTGCCCACACTGGGCCCCCTGCACTGTCCAGTGCTGGTCACCATGCCCCAGGAAGGACAGGGGAGGCCCAAGGTCATGCTGGCATCCCACAGAAGAGCTCTGTGAAGGAGGAGTGAGACCATGACTCCCCAGGGGGCACCAGGGTGCATCCTGGGGCATCAGTGAAGCGAAGCCTGACCCGGGGAGGAGAAGCAGGACAGGAGGGTGGCTTCCAGCATCACCGGTCCTGCACAGTCACAGGTGATGCTGTCCGAGGGCGCCTACTGTTTCTGCTGCCTCATGCAGCCAGGCCCTGGTGGGTGCACCTGCTAGCTATGCCGCTGCAAGCTGCCCCCCCACCTGCCCAAGAACGCTGCCCGTGGAAGTCACCTCCTTGGCACACAGCTGTCCCTGTGGATAGGTGGGCCCTCCCGCCCCCTCCCATGTCCACGCCAGGAAAACTCAGAGCAGATGCCTTCTTCCCCACACCAAGTCATGACCTGCACGTACGTGAGCCGCACCAATGGCCGGTGGTGTCCATGTCTGGGCAATTCCCAGAAACCCTTCAGAAGAAGCATGCCAAGGCAATGGGACCCCAGCCCTGAGGCCACAGCCCTGCCCCAGGGTGGGAGAGGTGGGCACCAGAGGTTGCCGCTGAGTCCTCGCTGCCAGAGCCCAGATGGCCAGGGCCCGGGATGTAACCCCGCTGGCTGTGCCCAGCTGTGCCTGGCTGGGGCGGAGAGACAGCGGGCCCCTGGCTCCTGGGCAGTGTCACGGCCACACAACCAGGCCGGGGGGGGGGGCAGGGGGCGGGGGAGTGGGCTCACACACATACCTGCTCTCACACACCCTGACACATCTGCTCACACAACCCTGACACACCTGCTCTCACACTCTGACACATGCACCTGCTCTCACATACACTCCCTGACTCATGTGCTCACACATGGTCCAACAATCCCCACCGAACACACCTGCTCACACACACACTTGCTCTCATACATGTGCTCTCTCTCTCTGACACACATACGTGCTCACACATGCTCCAGCAATGCCCACCACACACACCACACTTAAACTGGCATCTGAGTCCAGGCCTATGTGTGAGCCGGTTCGTACCTGACAACAAGACAAGCTGCACAGGACCCCCCGGCCTCCACTCTGTGGGGAGGGGCTTTCCCAGGTGTGCTCTGCTCTGGACTGTGGCCTGAGACCCAATCTTGAACATGAAGTCATCCCTAGCGGATGTCCTGAGAGTCACTGGAACTGGGTTGGGGGCAGAAATGAGGAGCGACCACGTCACACACACACGCACACGTGAGGCCTGGACACGCAGCTCAGGGATCCTATGGGGCAGAGTCCGCGCTTTCCCCTCCAGCAGCCTTCAACCCTCCCCCACATCAGAGAAGCTTCTGGTAGCACAGGAGCCACTATCCTGCTTCGGGAGCAACAGGCATGTGTCAAACCCAAGGGAGGGAAGTGTGCGTACCCTGAAGCTCACCAACCAGGGAAGGCCCATGTCGGCCTTCGAGTCTGGAATCTGGTCACCTCTAAAGGATTTTCTTAGCCATGGCCCTGCATGTGGGGCATTCAGAACGAAGCCGGCAGATGAGGGGAAGGGGGTTGTGCAGGTGGAGCTAGTGCAGGCCCGGGAACTCAGGCTCATGGCCCGCTCTGAGCCCCCTCCCCGCTCCCTGTGGCACACACTGTGGGGGGAGTGTGGGGGACAACGCTGCCTCCTCCGATCATGAGCCCCTCCAACCCGCCCCCCACCTGGGACCAAGTGTGGGGTGGGAGCCTCCTCCCAGGAGGGCCCACCCGTGGGTGGCTCAGCCCAGCAAACTGAGGAGGAGCCAGTCACCTGGGAAGCCACCAAAGGGGAGGGACCCAGGCCGACCCTCAGCGGAGCCACCTGGGGCTTCTTGGGGAGGAGCGCTGAGCACCCAATGAAGAGCAATCTGGGGTCGGAATGGCACCCACACTGCAGCCTGACCAACTGGCTTCCACGTTTATACCCGGGGGGCCCACATCTGGGCACAGCAGCCCAGGCCTTAGATGCACAGAATGGCAGCTGGCCCCAGCTCACGGCAGCCCCCCCCCACCAACCCTGGGTGTGGTCCAGCTAAAGAAGGCGCTGCTGCCGGAGGCCCCCAAGTTTGGGTGAGGTTTGTGGGCAGCAGAGAAGCCAAAACAGGCTTCACTCATAGTTTTCAGTAATGGCAGGATGACAGACGGGAACCCCAGGGAACGCCCCCCTACAGCTGTGGGGTCAAGAGCACGACAGTCTGACGCACCCAGACTGCTGCTGCGCTCACCTATTCTGCCTCCGGCCTGCCTCAGCGGCAGGGAGCCCACGTGGCTCATGCTGTCCTCATGTGTACTCGATGTGACAGCGTCCCTTGGGTGGACTCAAACGCACGCGTGTACGAATACATGACTTAGTCCACACACACAAGTGCTACCAGTCATCTTCGCGGCTACAGATGGGGGAAGGTCAGCAAGTCACCTCCCATGCTGGTACGTCTGTGACATGTGGGGCTGGCGGCCTGAGGCCGGGCCTCCTGCACCGGACACTCAGCCACAGGCTGCCACACGCTGCCTTGTCCTCAGCAGTGCCCTCTGACGCCGAAGCCACAAACCGGACCCGAATCCTCAGAGAAAAGGTATCCTGACACCTGGACCTTTTGGGAGACACAGGAAAGGACTCCCCCCAAAATCTTGATAGTCTTCTGGAAAGCACCATCACTTACACAGCCAGAGCACCGTGCTGCCCTCCACAGTCTTTGTGACACATCTCACAAGGACTCCATAGCCCCTCCTCCCATCTGGGCTGGCCCCAGGGACCTGCCAATGCTGCCCTCAGCACAGGCACCCACGCCCCTCCATCTCTGACCTGCTCCTGCCGCGGGTGTGGGGAAGTGCACCCCTCCAGGAGGTACAGCAGCTGTGGGCACCCCTTGAACAGAAAGAACTGCTCCTTGAGACCCTCACAAAGCCCTGGGTTGCGGGTGCCCTAAGCCCAGAGCAGCTGCTGGGAGGCCCAGATGCAGGCGGTAGGTGCCCTGAGATGCCCAGAGCAGCGTCCCAGAGGGAAGAGCTGGGAGCCCGTGGGCCTCCATGGTGGGGCTTGGGCTCAGGCCTCCCAGCTCACACGCCACCCTGGCACCGGCCCAGCAGCAGCGTGAAGACTGAACTTCCCAAGAGACCAATGGCTGCATCAGACCCCTGCAGGACAGCTGCGCTTTTAACCTGAATTGACTTTAGTGTTTTCTCCAAAACATCAACTAGGAAAAGCCCAGTTACAGTTACAGAGCACATCAGGACATGTGAGGTGGAGTGAGTGCTGCCTCCGCCAGGAGTCAGAGGTCAAAGTGGTTTCCTTCTTTGGAAATGTGACTTGCATGAGATGCAAACCACCTCATTTAAATACAAACACAAGCAGTGATAGCGTCCAGAGGTGTAACCACAGTGTTCATACCCACTCACAACAGTTGCGGCCTCTGACCACATTGCCACCTATGCTCGCATCTTGCCGGCCGTGCACCTGACGCCAGGCTGCTGCAGGGAGTGGCTGGAGGGCCCCTGGGTGAGGATGGCGCTGGTTACGCACCTAGGGACTAAGGTCCCCACACTGTGGGCTGGCGGCCAACCTCCACGTGGCACTGTGATGCCATGGAGCAGAGACCTGGAAATGAGTGGGCCGGCTGGCGGGGGGACCTGCCCTGAGAAGGAGCCCCATAGTGCCCACAAAGCGGGGAGCCTCCAGGAGACCCCCATGATCCCATCCTGGCGCCAAGGTGATGGCCAGTCTGGGAAGGAAGCCGCATGGACTTCTCCTTTGGGTGGCAGCCAGGAGAGTGCCGCCTGGGGCTGCATCTCAGTGCATCTCCTTGCAGCCCGGCAAGCAGAGCGCCGAGGCTGTGACCCCCACCCATGCTTGTTCATACAAAGCTCAAATGGTTAAACCATTTCAAAATTACCCTCCTCCAAAAAAAGGTGTTCCAGTAACGCAAATACTGATCATTATGCCTTGTCGTTTTTCTCCATAATTCACAACGTGTTTTCCAATTATGTGCATGATTACACAGGATGACTGAGCTGAACACGCAGGACTCTCAAGCCCGTTTTGATGGAGGCACTTAAGCTTCCTGCACAAAATCAAGACCTCATTGTGGATGCTAATCACTGGCCTGGTTTCTAGTGATCAGCGTGGGTCCTGCACTGGTGCTCTCCGGAAAACTCTCCGTTTCTGCAGGAAAAGGGGAGGAGAACACAGCCCAGCGGCAGCAGCCCCATCAAGGGGGAAGGACCTCATGCCCATTGGCCATGCTTGGCAGGGAACCAGCTCCAAAATCAGCTGCAGAGAACTTCTGGGAGAGGTGAGCCCCGCACACCCTCTCACCCGCTCTTATTTGTGATTTGCACGGGTGCCTGGGGGCCTCTTGTCAGACGGTTCTCGGGGCAGGAGCTGCGCACACACGCACATCTGCCTGGCGTGGCACACCCAGGGGCCTATTGCCCAAACATCAGACAAGAGAGACATGCAGCAACCATGCCCCACCACTCCCCACACCGAGGTCTGCCCCCACCCACTTTGACGTCTACACATTCGGAGTGGTCTACACACACACACAGAATGGCTGAGAACCCAAGTGCCACGGCTCACACAGCAGCAGCACCTGCCTCTGCATCTGTGGCACCAATAAGAACGTGAGCCTGAAGGATGCCGGGGAGGCTTCAGGTCCAGGTACAGGTCCCACCGCCTGCCACGGCTGCCCCGCAGCCAGACGCTTGCCTCCAAGACGGCTGGGCTTCAGCCAGACGAGAAGCCCTTGTCTCTACAGAGCAGAACAGTGCTTCCCAAGACGGCATGCATGGTGGCCCGGGGCAGGGCCTGTGCACAGCCAGGAGGGCGCCCTCCATCCAGTCCAGGCAAAGGGCCAGGGGCCATGGCCAGCATGTGGAAGGCAGCCCGCTGACACAGGCAGAGCTAGGAGATCTGCTCCTGCTTCCCAGCACACAGACACCCGCAGAGTGGCCATGCTCTGCCACCAGGAACCAATTCCACCTGTGCCCAGAGCGGGGAAACACTCCTACAGCCTGTTCGCACAGGAAGTACCTGGTGCTTTCTCCACAAATATGACTTTGGAGTCTTGCAGAAAGTTGTGTCCAGACAGGACCATCTTCTTCCCACCAAGGACGGGGCAGCTGGCCGCGCTCTGCTTCTCCACGAGGGGCAGCTCCTGGGCCGACCGCTGGGCTGCATGGGGTCAGAACAGGGAGAATGAGCATGTGCCCCCAGCCCCACGTCACGCAGCAGCCTGAGTGGGTGCCCGGGCTCGGCCAGGCGGTCAGGAACTTGGATTTCCTGGCAGCTGCTCAGGGTCTGGGGCAGGGGGCACGGCACGTACACGGAGCACTAGGGCAACCGCATGCGGCACCCTGGCCACCCTAAGGACAGCCTCCTTCATGAGAGGCAGCAGCCCCATGCAGGTTCGTGTGACCGCGCACACAGGGCAATCACACATCCGATCTGCGCACATGGGGAAATCAGGAGGCAGGAATGCGTGTTCGAACGCGTGTACGTCTGTGTGTGAGCCTGGGTGTGGGGTGGGGAGGAATACGTGCACACGTGCATGTAAGTCTGCGCATGAGCCTCCCTGGGGTGAATGCGTGCGCGTGCGTGTGTGCATCTGTGCGAGAGCCTCTGTGGGGGAATGCGTGCGTGCGCCTGCATGTCCTGTGTGAGCCTTCCACTCCAGGGGCCCCTCGGCTGTGTGCGGCCCAGATACAGCCTCCAGGGTAGGAGCAGCTGACTGGACCCCCTGTCACGGTGAGCAGAGCGTGGACTCCTAGAGCTGGGAGCCACAGGGAGACCCTCCCCAGGCACTGTGGGCGTGCGGGCCCCGTGTGAACCAACGGAGGGGCCTGGGGCTTCGGTCCTGTCTGGGCTGCGGGACCAGAGGGGCCGGGACAAGACAGGCAGTGACCAGAGCACAGGGCAGTTGGGTCATCTGGGGATGACAGGGCACAGTGAGGCCACCGACCCAAACTTTCTGGGCAGAAACAGCGGCAAGCACGGGCGTTTCTGCCACCAGCTCCACACCAGCAGTTCTCCTGCAGCCAGTGGGCTGGAGGGTGGAAGTCCCTGGGGCTTCACGGGGTCGGGGGACAAGGCACAGCCATGGCTAGGGAGTCCCGGGCACCGAACTGGGTCAGACTCTCAGGTCAGAGGTGAGGGAACCAAACCCAGATGCTCCCTAAGGTGGGCAGGTGAGTGTCCTGTGACAGCCACACCCTATGACAGGCGTTCTGACAGTGACCGCACTGTTCATGACAGTGGGCCGCATGTCCCGCCAGACCCTGCAAAGACTCCTGCGTGTCCCGCCCCCGAGAGCAGCCACTGCACACGGGTTTGTGGGGCTTCTGTCAATCACCTCACTTGCCGACAAAAGTCAACAAAGTCACTGCCAGGGGTCATGGAGCCCCTGCAGGAGCAGGGTGTCAAGCCCAAGGCTGGATGCTCCTGAATCACACACAGGATGAAAGAAAGGAAAACCAGGGGCCACTAGGGAAGGCAAGCAAGTCCTATGCGGGCTGGCAAACTTAGTTTGCTCCACCCCACAACCAGACTGACGACCGAGTCCCACTCAGGTTCCATGCATGCACCTCGGGGTCTTAGCAAGCACGTTGGGGTCCATGCACGCATCCTGGGTCTCAGCAAGCACCTTGGGGTCCATGAATGCACCTCGGGGTCCCAAAACAAGCACCTCAGAGTTCCGAGCATGCACCTTGGTGTTCTGTGCAAGCATCTCGGGGTTCAAGCAAGCACCTTGGGGTCCTGAGTAAGCACCTTGAGGTCTGAGCAAACACCTCGGGGTCCCATGCATGCATCTCAGGGTCCGATGCATGCATCTCAGGGTTCAAGCAAGGACCTCGAGGTCTGAACAAACACCTCAGGGTCCCATGCATGCATCTTGGGGTCCCGTGCATGCATCTCAAGGTTTGAGCAAGCTCCCCTCCTTGTCCTCCCTGCAGGTGCCGGCAGCAGGTGCCAGCAGCACACAAGAACCTGTAAACCTAAATGCCTGCACAGCAGCCCCACGGGGTTGATATGGCAGGCCGGAGACAGAAGCAACTGCACAAGCAGGAGGGAAGAGTCCATGCATCTACACGAACAAGGACAGGAAATGTGTCACAGAAATGAGAGAATGACACAGGCCTGGCTCCGGTACTCACAGCACTCAATGGGGTTGGAAGCCACCTGCAGGGACAGTGTCCGGCCATTGGGCTGCGGGATGTGGACTCGGAAGACCAGCCTCACCCTGGTGTTCTTCCTCCCAATGTCTGTCTCCCCTTTCCGCAGCTCGATGTCAGAGTTTCGGAGCTTCAGAATCCCGGCACAGTCCACGCTGCCCAGAACAAGAGTCCACACGGGTCATCAGTCCCTGATGTGCAGCTCAGGGTGCCCCACTCCACCCCCTGCCAGGCCCACGGAGCCCCACACACCCGCACGGGGAGATGGCACTGCATTTAGCGCCCAGAGGTGTCAGTGGGAGGGGCAGAGCCATGAGGATGGGCCTTGCCACCCACAGGAGGGTCAGTTGTCAGCTCACAGAGGGCAGGCCTGCCGGGCCTCAGAGCCACTCGCGGCAGCAGCGACAGAGCCTCTCAGGAGACACCTGCCTGTACGCACTGCACTCCTTCCACAGGCAGCGTTTGCATCTGGTTGCCAGCGAACCCAAAAATGAACAGGTGTCATGTTCAGGAGGTGAGGGCAACCTGATGGTGGACAGGCAGCCGGGACCGGCCATTGAGGTGCTACGGACCTGTCACCCTACAGATCTGTGGGGTGCCGAGCCCAGGGCCAGGGCAAAGGGGAGAAGCAGGCATGCTGGCCACACTGCCCGGCACTGCCCCGTGCGCCCTGAGTGCCCCAGCCACGCAGGCATGGCTTACATGGCTCGCATGTTGTTCTCAGGCAGCAGTGGGATTTCCAGGACTTTGGTGTTGGAGAGGATGGCTTCATGACTGGTAGTGGAGACAGTCTTGCCTGTGATCCGGTGCACCTGGTAGAAGGCGTGGGGTCTCAGCAGGCGGTCGTCGGCCGTCCCGATGAACAGCTGTAGTGTGAGCGGTTCATTCTCCAAGTAGCCGTGAAGCTGCGGAGAGAACAACAAGAGACCCCGGTAAGCACCTGCGCACAAAACGGCTCAGAACCACTGAAACGTTTACAAGCAGAGGCTGACTTGCTAGGGAATCATGCAGCAGGTGCTTGGTGCTAAGTACCCCTGCAGCCCGGCCCCTCAATGAAGGACTCAGGAATACCACCCTAAGGGCGCCCTAATGGCCCTGGACCCATGTGAGCTGCGAGCATTCCTGTTGCCTCCATTCAAACACACATCCACGTGTGCCCCCCCCACATGCACATCTTGCACACGTGCCTGCACCACCCTGAGCAGCACCCAAGATGCCGGCAGCAGCTGGGAGGGGCTCTGCGTCCCCACAAAGCCTCCCGCTGCAGCCCACCTCCTCCTTTCGTGTGTCTCCCTGGCAGCTTGTGACACTGTCCGCTATAAAGACCACATGCTGCTGGCGCCTCCCAGAAACAGCACTCAGCTGTCTGCAGAAAACTTCTCCCTAATAAACTCACATGTGCACCCCCAGGATAGGGTACTTTCTCCCTTGCACCCTGTCCTGATGTCCTGATGACACAGGACACTCCAGATAGACACAAAGTTGGCCCCTTTTTGCCCTGCTCAGGGCCGCTCTGCCCCTGGAGCAGGTGAGGGCTCCCTGCGGCCCTGGTGCCCCCAGCTCGTCTCCAACCATGGCAGGAAGCCCCATAGCAGGGCCTGGATCCTGGGAAGGGCCTGGCAATCCCAAGCTGTTGGCTCTGTGTTTCATAGTCACACTCACTTTCCTCGACAACAGACAGTTGCTCTAACGCCGCTGCCAGATGACCCCGTGGGGCCGGGGGCTACCAGTGCCTCAAAGGAGCCTGGAGGCCAGCTGCCTGCCAGCAGTCGTGTTGCCAGCAGCCAGCACCCTGACCTGCAGGCATGGGGGGGCTGAGAACCTATGGAAGGATGGCCCTGAGGAGCAGACACACGTCCTTGCCATCCCACCCACGGAGCACAGTTGTGAGTGTGACACCCCAGAGCACCTGCTACAGAGTGGGCACCCGAGGGGCATGCGGCAGGGCCAGGGAGGTGGGAGGGCACCCTGAGGTCCCTTTACCCACATAAGGAGGCCGGTATGGGGTCACAGGGACCTGCCCTGCAGTGCAGACCCGAACAACGGGGGCCTAGGGGGGACAGATAGGGCTCCCGTGTGAACCAGCGGGAGGTTTCTGTGCAGGCGGCAGGGCCGTGGCCAGGCTCGTGGCAACAGGGCTCAGGCCTCACGCATATCCCGCCTATACTGGTGCAGCTTTTATACTCGTGTTGACATCCCAATTTGAAAACAATAAACTTGAGAAGCAAGAACAACAGCCCAGAGGCTGATGGAGGCTGACGCGACAGCGGGCAGGTCTGGGGCTCCCAAGGTGCAGCCGTGGCCTCAGATGGGATGCAGGCCGGCCACTCACCATCACTGTCCTGCCTCCTTGGCCAGCGAGACGCCATGGGAACACAAAAGGCCCCAGGCTGAGCGCTTGCTTCTGAAGACTCCTGTCTGCACCCCACGTTTCCCCTGGCCTCAGGTGGAAGGTGCTCTTTATGGAATCAGAGGTGCATGTGAGTGGCGCATGCCCGTCAGCTGCCACGAGGAGGCAGGAAGGTAAGGCCAGCCCAGCTTCGGGTGGCAAACCTTTCGTCTCCGGAGAATGCAGGTATCCACATGCCAAGTGCATGCACCTCATTCCCATGTGGGGGAGAGCCCAAGCCCCCAGGGGAGCCCCAGGTCGGATTGAAGAGGCCAGCTGTGCCCGGGTCGCGTTGCCCGGAGGTCTGTCCACGAGCGTCCATTTCCCTGTCACGACCTGCACCCAGGGCCTCACAACATTCATTCTAAGTACAGCAATGTCTTCACCCTCAACCCAACTTAGAATAAAAAACACATTCGTCTGCAGTCACACCACAGAGGAGTCATGGGGATCCACCCTAGGAGTCCGTTACCCCGGAGGAGCAAGCACCTGCCTCTCCACATGTGCAGGGCAGCAGTGAGCCGTTAATCAAAACCAGGCTCGGAAAGACACATGTACTTACTGTTTTAACTTAATTAGAAGATAAGTTCCTTACAGGTTCTGAGTTCCCAGAGGACAACCCACGACGACGACTGTTCAGGAGGCAGATCTACGCACTGTCAGCAAACTGAATGTCTGGGCCCAGCCCACCACCTGCCACCGCTGGGCAGAAGAGGACCGGGCACTCGTGAGAGGCCACAGGGCAGGGCCAAGGCCCAGGCACCACGTGTGCACCATGTGGCAGTTCAGTAGGGAGACTCTGACCATCACCCCAGGGATCTCCCAGTGCTTCCTGCAGACGGTGTGCCTGGACGGAGAACACACACACTCGTGCATGCACGCCTGCGGGCATGTGTGTACTCACACCCCACACACTCAGAGCCCACGTGCACACATGCATACGCTCACAGGAGGGCTCCCCAGACACAGAGGTGCTGTGTGTGGTTAAGGCTTGTGGCCCGAAACTTGTGCACTGGGCACACCATTTTCATCTTTTAGTGCCTGTAACAGGGTCCCACGCATCCATGGACGTGGTCATCGTCAAAGTGGCTTCTTCATATTAAAATAATATGGTCCAGATCTACAGGTTCCTGACACACGTGGACCAAACACGTGTCTGACAGGAGTGTGCACACAGGCAGGGAGCACCGCTGGGGAGATGCCTGCAGAGGGACCGGGGATGCTGTGCCCGTGTGGTCAGCATGTGTGGAAGGGCTGCTCCTCTCAGCCCTGCATGTCCACACACGGTCTTGCGGCCCTGTGCACACAAGCACCTCACTGAGACCATATGTGGAGAACCCGTCCACAACGCCCGTTCCCAGGCAGTTCTCACTGACAAAGTGCTCTCCTCGTGAACACACGAGCATCCCCACCCGCACGCCTGGGTCAGGGTCAAGGCCAGGACCGGCTTGTGTGGCCCACTCAATCCCGTGTCCTCACTGTGGGGGAGGGTCACTTCAATCCTTTGCAGATTTAATGAGCTAAGGAGCCTTTGTGTTGTGCTGGACTCAAATCTACATTTTCATAACAGGCGACGTGCAAGTAAAATCAGAGCCTGATTAAGGGCTGATTTGCCCTGTTTTGCCACTTGCGGTTTCTTTCTGTGACATTTAACACAATAAGGCGTAAATGAGTCTTTGGCCAGAATAGCCTCTCATGTGGCCAAGGCGTGTCCGTGGCAGAGGAGGCAGCCCCACTTGCTCACACCACTGGGAAATGACAGTTCCCACGTCCCCCAGGGCCTCCCTGGGCCGCCTCTCTGAATGCATGCAGAGCGCAGTGGATTCTGGGTACAACTTCACCCTTTTAAAAACATGTCATTTCAGTGAAAATGGGAATATTTAAGGTTTAACCTGGGAGATAAACATCTATTATTCAAAACATGAAGTTCATTTTCAGGAAAGCAGTTTGAACAGTCCACACGCTGCCCTACATGGGCGCTCTGCCTCCGGCATGGTTCACCATCTGTCAAGACGGTATTTATAAAGTTACCTGTCATAACAATGACCTCTCTTTGCTTCAGCTAAACAAAATGTATTATTCCATTTTCAAGGTGTAAGAGCTGCTAAGTTTTCTACACGTAAGAATGTTTGTTTTTAGCTCCTGTGCTTACCTCAGCACTCAGGGGTGGGTGATAAGTGACAAGTGGGGCAAAACCCTTTGAGAGCGCCGCTGGACACGTGCAGGCAGGGTCGCGATGGCACAGCTTGCTGTTCAGCCAGTGTAAAATTCACCTCTTTACACGAGGCCCAAAGGAACCACAGGGAGGGAAGCCCAGCTTGCAATCAGGATTCACGCTTTAACCTGAACTTGCAGTGACCACAGTAACTTGTGGCCCTGCGTAGTGTGAACCCTCATGTTAGGGTAGGTCCTGAATCCTCACCGCCCGACAGGGAGGCTGCGCCCGCACCTACACGGGGTTTCCTACATCCACGCACATTCCCTCCCAAATGACAGAAGGAAAGCTGCACGGTCTCTACCTGACGGCACTGCTACCTGATACAGGAGGTGATGGCGTGACAGTGACTGCATCAGGGGGCAGAGCCTAGCTGTCACACCACCTCATGCCTAAGATGACCATGGCACACAGATGAACAGCAACCTGCTGCCCATGGAGACCTTATTAAGGGAGCAGAACACAAGAAAGCCGGACAAGAGCAGAACCAGGCCTGACATGTGGAGCCTGCCATCGGAGAACTCCTGATCTGCCTGAGAACACACACGGATGGATCCACACTGGCCTTCACCAGATGCTGCCCCTGCTCTTTACAGCCATGCCCCTAGGCACCTGCTAAAAACAGTGTGAGCAGAGCCTTCACGGGGGTCTGAGCTCAATCTCTGCAGAATAGAGCCTCCCCGCTGCATGAAACACTCAGGATCCACCTCAAGAGCCTGGCCGTGTACGCAAGCATGTGAGCGTGCATTGCACATGTGTGCAGATGTTTACAGAAGTCTGCGTCTGCACGTAGCAGGTGTGTGTCTCATTGGATGCAGGTAGAACTGCTGGCATGCGGTCGGGAAGGGGCTCCTGGCCAGGCTGCTAACAGGATGACTAGGCGGCCAAGGCGATAGTCCTGCGCAGGCAACGCCAAGTCATTTTTAACAGCTTTACTCAGGCAACAGTTTCTGTGGCAAAAGTCCATCCACTTTTAACCACATAACTTAAGATTTGAAGTCCTTCCTGTAAAAAAAAAAAACACTCAGGGACATAAGGAGGGCGGGGAAAATGGGCTTGTTTTCTGATGTTAATGTTGGTATTGTGCTGTCTTCTCAGGAAAAGGGAAGGAAGATTCAGTCGAAGTGAGGACCAGATTGCATCCAGAGCTGCCTGGGCTGTGAGCTCTGGTTTGGTAGGGGGTGTGGTCAGCAGACCCTATGTGGGAGAGTATGGATGGAAGACCAACAGCGTTATGGTAAGGCTCTGCACACCATCCACACAGGTGCACCTGTGAAGACCGGACGCACAGAGCAAAGGCT